GGGCCAGACACCCTAGTACAAGACGTTAAAGAAGAACAGGGAGAGAGAGAGCTGTAAGTTCTCAAACGCGCGGTCTGGACAGAAACCCGAGACTGTCTTCAAAATGCCAACTCGAGCCTACGTGTACGCTGCTTGTAACTCTGGCGTTCTCAGAGTGAAACGATTTCAGCAGAATAAGACTGAGCGCTAGTCCTCCCCTGCCCTGAGCAGTCTGTCCTGTCCCATCAGGGTGCCATCGCCCGCAGCGGACTCCAGGGACCAGAGGACAGACCACAGGGTCACCTAGCCGCTGTGGCCAGTGCTGGGCACAGCCAGCCTTCCCCTAAAAGGCTGAAATTGCTTAAATCATATAAGATGCCCCTGAAACAGCAGGAGTGGTTGTAGCGGCAGCAGTAATGGCAGTGGCAGTAGTAATAGTCAGAGTCATAAAGTACTAGCCAGAGGGGGAAAATGGGGAAACACTGGGTCTTTTTCTGCTCTGCCTCCTTGACAGTCGATTCCAAAATAGCGCTAAATAATAGTGCGATGGGTGCTTACCTGCACCAAGTGCTAACTAGAGGAATATACAGGTAAATACAAGCCTTCCTGACATTCTGCCAGGAAAGAATGGGTCACCAATGCCTTTCCTCACTAAATAAAAATAATCTGGTTCCTCCACTGTGACTACAGAAAAGCCTCTTAGCAGGTCCCCTCTCCGAGTGCTGCTGTGAACCCCAGGAAAGGCAAGCAGCCAGCCTCCGAGAAGCGGCCCCTCAGTGCCTGCTCCAGACCCGCGTGCTGAGCTCCTCCTGCCGACCCTGTGCTTAGAGGTCCCGCCTGGCCTCCTCCTGCTCCACTTCCCCCACATGTGCGTGGGCGCCCTCCCTCCTGCCATTCGCCACAGGAGGCTGGTCCTCAGCTGCAGAATCTCAGCACTTCAGTGCCATCTGAGGATGAGCTGAGGGAATACAGTGCTGAAAAGGCAGCCTCCGCCCCGAGTATCGGAACCCACGGCGTCCAGCATCTGTCAACAGTGCAATCCCACAGGGAAGGGCAGAGCCCTCTTCGGGCCGTGGGGACCCTCACACACGTCACACACACAATGACACATCCCACCGTGAGGCCAGGGGCATTCCCCGATGGCGGTCCGCCGGGGTTCTCTCCTTGCTCCCCAGTCAGGAGTCCCATGGCACCTTTTCCACAACACCCAGGCAAGCGAAACAGTTCACCTCAGAACACCTCCGCCAGAGCTCTCGCCCTGACCGCCTCGAGGGGCCTAGGTCCTCCTCGGTCACCCTCTTCCTGCCGGTTTAGGCTCAGCCTTGCTTGGGCATAACCAAATAGCTCACTACAAGGTTTCCCAGGCCATAGGGCATTGCTCCTCCAAAGACGTTCCACGAATACAGAGTACAGAATACTCCTAGAATCCAGAATACCGGTGTCGTTTTATCTGCACACGTATCTGGGATCTGCCACATGTAGCAGCAGCAAAACCCTTAAAGGACCTCCGGCCCTGGTGGCTGGGGCTCACCCCCCGAAGCAGGGCCCTGGCGTCCGGTGCTCTTTGCCACACCCCCATTCCACACCCCTAGCCCTTTCTCTGAGCAGAGCTCTGTGCAGAGGCCTGAGGAAGAGACATGTCCAAGCAGACAGAGCCGGGCAGCAGACAGGCGGTGGCAACTCTGCCCACCCCTGACATCTTAATGCTCACCAAGTTTTCAAAGAAACCTCCAACCACAGGGAAACTTCCAGACAAAACTGCCTCCCAGTGAAATGCATTTACCTCTCAGCTCCTCTGCACAGGTACTTCGTGACAGCGTCGTGATTCTTCCTGCAGCAGGTTGAAATCTTGTCAGCTTGTAAGAACAAAGCAGGATGGAAGTGAGTTAGTGTTGGGGGAAAAATGACAGTCAGCCTCCTAATTGTCTCAGAACCTGCTAAGGAGGTACAGCCCCCCACCCCACCTGCACCTTGCTGCCCACAGTGGCCCCACTGGCCTCTTGGAATGGCCAAGGCAGGGGTCTCGCGGTGGCCAGGGGTCCCAGGCTCACCTAGGGAAGTGAGCGGGTGGGCGGCAGGCCTGATCCTATGACCTGAACTCACACCACTCTGTGGCCACCGCAGGGCCAGGGGCATTCTCGGTAAGCGACCCCCACCAGTTCCAGCTGTCATGGGCTGAGCTCTCATCGGGACCAGCTGTCATGGGCTGAGCTCTCATCGCGGCAGCAAGGAAGGCAGCAGGCGGATCAGAAAGAGCCACTCTTCCCTCCTCTGAACCTCCCTTTCCGGCAGCTGTCCTCCGCCAGCTATCCCACCTGACTCCATCTTTCACACCAAATCCCAACTGTCTTTCCAAGCTCTGCTCACACCCTGCCTCCCCAGAAAACCATCCTCAATGCTTCCAGCCAATGAAACTGCCTCCTCTCAATGAACTGAGTCACCCAGATCCAGCTGCCCGGACCCAGCCCAGGAGGCCTCTGGCTCCGCCCTTCAGTGGGACCAAGCACCTTGCCGTTCACACACGTGATTCAGGGTGGAATCCTGACCCGCCACGGGCACACAGATGCGGAAGGTCATCCCTCTGTCTGTCTTAGAAAGCCCTCCGCAAGTGGAGAGAACTCCTCTTGATCCACAATGCCAATGGCGGCTGGTGGCCTATCGGCGCTGGTTGGGACAACGCTGCCTCCTGAACTGCTCTCGTTCTTAAAGTTCACGGCTTTGCTGGCAGCCACAGGGGACAAGACCATGGTGTTTGTCGAGAAAAATCACACATCTGCCAAGAGGCTGAAGGGGAGCTGAGCAAAACATGCCACCGGGTGCTACTAGGGGCTCCAGGAAGACAACCGCCAGCAACCTCTGCTCCCCCCACCCTGGAGAGGCCCTGGCACCGCAACTCAGAGGAAGGCCGGGGAGTCCCTGGGGAGCAAGGGGAGGGGCCCCGGAGTACAGGAGCTGAGGATTTCAGCCGGGTCTTGGCCTGCAGGAGTCACAGAAAGTCGGGGGCTATCCGGGGAAAGGCAGTGGCACTGGGAATCCAGAAACCTGCAGGGCCTCTGGCCAGTCAGCCAACACCTCAGAGCCTCTGTTTTCTTGTTTTTACTGTTAAATGGGGACAAGGGCTGAACACTCATGAGATTTCACATACTGTGATAAAAGAGGACATTGCCCAGACCCAGGCGTCGGGTAGGAGTGCCATCGTGGATCTGGAGACAGGAGCCAGGCCCAGGAGGCACTGGGCAGGAGGATGGGTCAGGCCTGCGCTTGCTCTGGGAGGTGAGAGACAGAGACAGGATCAGGCAGGACAATTGCAAAGGTGGACACAGAGGAAACTGTCTTCTGGAGGAGCTAATTGGGGCTGGACCTAGGGAGAGACTCAGGCTGCAAAGACACACTCCAGGTTCTTTGCAGGAAATCCACAGCTCCATCTGGGGGAAGAGCAGTGGCTGAGGTGGGGAGTGTGTGTGGAAGAGCAGAGGGGCCCAAAGACCACCGTGCACAGTTGAATGAAGCTGGCTGGACCAACGGACTCCGTGTTCGGTGACTTCGGGTCGAAAAGTCATTTAAAATCGGCTGGGGGAAGGGACAGTATTGACACCTCAGAAAACTGCAAACAAACTGGAGCTTGTTTTCCAAGAGTTGCTTGTTAAACATTTACCACTGCCTGAGGGCACCTAGTTTTCAGGGAGGAGCTAGAAGGCGGGTGAAAGAAAGGGAGAAGAGCTTCAAAGGGGCCGGGGCAGGACCACGGAGGCCAGCGCCCTGAACCCCAGGTGGGAAAGCAGGCCTGCAGAGTAAACTCCACAGAGTGGGGCCACTCCAGCCGAGTGATCTGCATCCTGGCCACCACGCTCAGGGACTTTGGTCACCTGCTGCTGAGACAGCCGTTCAGCCCCATGCCAGTGGGGGCAGGTGACTTTCGCGTGACTTCTACGCTTGCACCACAGGGTCAGGCACCACCCATGGCCTCGGTTGGCCTCATCACCCTAGTGACAGCCAGACGTTTTCCTGACATTTTTCTCTAAACCCATGGCTCTTTAAGAAACGAGGGCATAATGAGAAAGCTATTTTCACAACATCGGAATCTTCCTCTGAGGACGTTTCACCACAAATGATAGAACAATTGGTCCTCCCTGGAACGCCAGCATGAGCGCAATAACGACGGGATTAAGAGCCTCATTTACTAGCCTGATCGCATTGAGACCCCGCCCCCTACACCCACCAGCCCTCCCGCGCGCTCTCGCGCTTGGGAGCCCTCTCCACTGTTCCCAGACTGCGGGCCTCATTCTCAGCAGAGCGCTGGCAGGCAGCAGTCACATTATGTATCTGCTCAGCGCTCAGGCAAGAAACCATTATGTTCACGGATCATTATTGACATCCTGACATTTGTCACCTCCTTTCATAGCAGTTAAATCCTGCTTTATCTGTAAATGTCACCATGTCATTTATTCATGAAAGGGGTCACATTCCCAAAATAGCATGCTTCAGTTTAAAAGGGGAGCCTGGCTTTGTTCGCAGTGGGTAATCCTCAAACAAACTTTACCGCTGATGAACGCTTTCTTATTGGAGTTTCTTGGCTTTAAATGACGTCCTCAAATGTAGAAGGCAATTCTGTGTCTGCAGAAACAAAATCTGAATGTTGAACGAGAGGGAAGAAGGTCGAGATTAGAAGAAGTGAAGGTTGGCTGCTGCCGCCATAAGTGGTAAGTTAGGTGTAAACAGATCTGAACTTACTGAGAGTCAGCCGCAATGTGGTAAGATTGTCGATGCTTCTGAAAATACACCTTTGGCCTTTTTGAATCATTTATGCCTCAGAAACCGTGTCGAGATCAGGAGCTTCTTAACTGTCCTGGGTGATCCCTTAGCTGGGGACCCTGGAGGGGAAAGCTCAGCATACATGATGTGCTCACGCCCCCTCCCCTCCAAGTCCAAGGACACTGGTCGGAAATGATTAACTCATCTTGGGAGCTTGTGCTGCCAGGAAGAAACACCTCCTCCCTTTACAAAACTTGCTCAAAGTTCACTTTAAAGTAGGGGGACCATATAATTTATTGTCTGAACCCAGGCACTCTTTTGAGGGAGAGAAGAGGCACTAAAAGTAATTAACAGGTATTAACTGATCAACAACCATGGACCCAGACCAAAAAGGGCGCATGGCCGCTGGAACGGTAAGGCTTTATGGAGGGTCTGGTTGAAGAAGTTCACATCCGCCAGCTATTAATGAACTCTTGCTCAGGAAAGGCCTCTGTCTGCCTGTGGCTCCTGCAGTCACGTGATTCCAACCCAGCTACCTAACCCAGTGGTTCTACAAGCAAGGTCCACGAACGGAAATGGCCTGAGGAGGTTGTTCAGACTGCAGGTGCCTCGTCCTTACTTCAGATCTCCTAAGTCAGAATCCCTGAGGATGCTGCCCGTGCCCCTGCATTTCGACACACCTCCCAGGTAAGGGAGGTGGTAAGCACACTGAAATTTAAGAGGCAACCGCTCTGATCCAAATCTTTCGCTCTCCCCTCTGTGTTCTGGCCACACTGTGGTAATGGGAAGTGGGTGGGGAAATTCTGCTCTTTTTGCCTAGAAAAGTAACGTGCAGATGGGGTGTGAGCTGAAAATAGATTCTCCATTGTGCACAAATATGGAGGCTATGACACCTCCCGCATACTGCCATTAAACATCAATCTACTCCCCCGCTCAGAACCGTGTAGGTAACCATTTCCTACCCACTAGGGGCAGGCTACATGAGCACATACAGCCTCGGAGTAGTTAGAAGATAAGAAAATGGTTAGATGAAATTGAGGTCCTTGAGAAGGGCGATCGAATACAATGAAAACTGCTCGGTGTTAGAAGAGCCAGCGAGGAAGATTTCCCCAGGCACTAATGAGCTCCTTTTTGAGCATGATATAGATTGTAGCAACGATCGCAGACCACAGCTGAACCCAAGTTCCCGTTTGTAAGTCCAGGCCAGGGTCACAGTCATATGGCTATCACTGCCTCAGATAATGTCCACATGAGTTCGCCATCACTGCCTTGGCAACAGCAGAATGCCTTCATCCTGCCATGGCTGCTGAGAGGGACCGGAGAACGGAGGCAGCAGGGAGGGACGGTGCACTCTCTCTGTGTGGTGTTTTCACATGTGCCCTCTCGTCAATGCCTCCCTCAGTCATAGGTAAGGTTGAGCCCAAGGCCCATGCATGACGCATAGCTCTAGGCTTAGCCTCCACCTTTGCGCCTCTCTGCCCTCCGGAGGGAGCACCTGGCACCAGGCCCCACACAGGATACCTACCTGCTCAGGGCTCAGGCGACATCTGCTGGAATGCTTCATGTGGCGGAGGTCCCCACCGCCACTGGGCCAGGGGCCTGCCGTGTTGCTGAGCCCCAGCCTAGGCTGGTACCCAGTGCTGACCAAGAGTGAGGATCCAGGGAAGAAGTTGCATGGGCACAGGAGCAGTTACTGAGTGCCTACTCTGAGTCCACCTTAACAACGGAAAAATCCTTCCTCCTGTCCATCTGTCATTCTGTAGCCCATCAGCCAGGACCCCTTGTCTGACTTTCCAATGCCTCTGCCGTCAAGCTCCTGTTCTCATTTAACTGGACGCCTTCACTGAGTTCTTCCCATCAGCCCAGAGACTGACACTAAGCCAAGTCTACGGTAAAGAGAAGTTCTGGTTAAATTCTAGACCGGTTTCAAAGAATGGTAGGCTAGGTCTTCCCAACTCCCCAGAAATTTCCTGGCGGGTTCCCACCTCCTCACTACTCTGGCTGTCTGGAAAGCTTTGCCCTGAGCTGGGACCTGGGGGGCAGGGGGGAGAAAGGACCCACCCAGCTCCTGATCTCGTGGGCATCCCAGTCTAACCGAGAAGACAGATGCCTGCAGGTCAAGGGGAGAGCCAGTCTGCACCAGTCAGAGCATCTGGCCTCCGTCAGCCCCAGGTCTCTGAAGAGCTATGTGGTTTATTTGGAAAAATGTCTTTACCTCTCTGAGCCTCAGTTTCCTAATTAATGAAGAGAGTATCGACCTATCAGATTCACTGTCAACTTGAGTGAGAAGATGTCTGTCAGGTGCTTCATGAAGGGCCTACCAAACAGTAGGGATACGTGGTAATCCCCTTCCTTCTTCTGCAGACACTACATGTAAACGCGGTCCTCTGCTCCCGACATGTAAAAGTTGGGAGTTACTAGCTGCAAATTGCCTCGTGCCCCGACTTGCTCTGTGCCTGTGAGAGAGCCGAGACCTCCCAGTACCTCGGGTTCCTCATCTGCGGAGGGTAATTGCTGTCCCTCCAGCTACCCAGCTCCAGCAGTTTTCACGGGAAGAAAAGCACAGGTGCATTGTCAGACATCTGGAACCTGGCTGGGAGACAATTTCCAGAGAGGGCCAAGGTGGTGTTCTGTTGTGACCACTGGGATTGAAGACATGGTTCTATTTCCTCCTCTTTCTGTTAAACTGAACTTCAGCTACAGACATTAATACCCTCACTGCATGGTAAGGAGGGGGCTCTATTTTTACAAGTGCCACAGGATCGAGCCCTAATGTGTTACGCTGTGACCTTTGCTGGCTCTGCACCAGGGAACCGTAATTTGGGGCTCACCCTGGCTTTGGAAACCTCCGTAGGCTTCATATGATATGCATGGTATTGCATGTTCTATAACTGGCCCGCATTTCCTTACAACCTTCCCAGTTAGTTTCTGAAGTCTCTCTATAGACTTTTTTTAACTCCAAAAGTCCATAGTGTTTCTTAACAGGGATCTAGCCCCTGTAAGGGACTGTGGAGAGAATAAGGCTGGTTTAGGGCCTCAGGGAGGCTGGGGTGGGGCAACGGAAGCCATTCTGTGACTGTTCATTCCCTGAATGAGGATTTTGAGCCTTGGGGCCTATCACCAGGCTGCAGTCATTTCCAGTAGATGGGGATACAGGAAGGAATTTAGAAGTCAGACCATATCTAGCCCTCGCTAAATTGGATTCTAAGTTCTCCTAACCTTGAGGAGGAGAGGGTCAGTATAGGACCCAGAGCCTGTGATACAGGGTGCAGCCAGGGGCCCCCCCCCAAAAAAAAAGATTTAGAAAGGTGTCCAGAATTCAAAGTGTATAGAAATATTGGAGAGACATATAAGATGTCCTTACCGCCCCCCCCCCAGGGGGAAGGGATGAATGGAGCCAGGCCATTGAGAGCTGTTTTGCATAGCAACAGTTTTGCAGCTAACCTCTGGAATGATTATTTAACATATCTATAACCTTTAACTGGTTTCATAGATATGTTAAATAGCTGTGGCCAAGTTTGGAGCCAGGGAGAAGGTTGTGGGAGGGACTCAAGATGGGAACTAAGGTCTGCACTCCTGAGAGAGAAGGGAGTAGCTTGGGTACTCAAGATGGAACTAGCGGGGACTCAGGAGGATATAACTAAGGTCTGCACTCCTGAGTGAGAAGGGCTTGGACTCAGGAGGTAATGAGGGGCTGTGCCCCTGAGGGGGGGTGCCGCTGTGTGGGAGCTTGGAAAAGACTGGCTCCAGGACATGAAGGGTCCCCGCTTGGCCAGATGGAGAGAGAGCCACGCGGTTTCAGCAGAGTGAGGACCCCCTCTTGGTGAGGTGAAAGAGGGAGCCACGTGGTTTTGGCAGGGTGCAGACCCCCTCTTTCCCAGGTGAAAGGGAAAAACCACGCAGCTTTGCCAGAATGGAGATCCCTGCAGCCAGGTGAAGAAGAAAGCCACATGCTTTTGGTGGAGTGCGGACTCCTGCAGCTTTGGTAGAAGAGGCCCACGCGGCTTTAGGGTGCCCCCTTTGGCCGTGGGGCCTGAAAAGCAAGAGAGACTTTGATTGGAACTGGGTACAAAGGACTCTTGCCAGTGGACCATGAGAGGGTACCACAGTACTTTGGATTAACTCGAGATCCTGCACAGTGACACAGCTGACGGTGCCAGCGACCTGCAACACAGACGTGTGCTCTTTTCCTGATTTACGGTACCCGGAGTTGGGACAGTGGGAGAAGGGAGCGCTGTGTGGGTGTAGGTGTTTACCCTAAAGGACTTTGATATTTTAGTGGTGGCATTAGGCCTGAATAGCAGCATTAAAGAAACATTTTGTTTCCTTTTCACAAATCTCTGGCATTAAGAGATGTGTTTCTAATTGGCGGCGGACAGAAGGGCCCAGTAGATTTTAGTATTTTGTTTTCGGGAGGGGCTCCTGTTGTATAGCAGTTTTGGGCATCCCTATGTGGGCCAAATATTGTACTGCCCCTCCCTTGGACCTCCTCTTGTTCGGTAACACCTGTATGGCTTCTCAGAAACCCTAAACTGTCCCTTTCTTTCTCTTGGCTTGACCACACCTGTGCCAAGTTGTCCCCTCACTTCTACACTCATACGAAGTATAACATCATGGGACATGGAATCTGGCTTTCTGAACATGCACTTCGGACCAGATGACACAACCTACAAGTGCAATTGAGTCAACTCACTGTGGGTGTAACCTTGGCCAATGAGAAACAGCAATGCAAGGAAACTGGACAGAGAAATAGCCTGTTTTCTCCTCAGTGTGAATTGCTTCAAAGTGTGTTTTTTCCTTGCAAACCTGCCAAAAAATCCAGCGTACCCAGGACACACACCTGTTGAGGATGTAATGTCCCCACAGTGCTTATTATGAACACCGGGCACAGAGCATTGCACAGATTCACGACTTTGTCTGCCTCCATGCTCATCCCCTTGGGTCTGCACCTCCCAGATAAACTGTACCTACTTTAATTCCTGCCACAGGCACTGCTTTTATAGGACCTGGGCTGAAGACATGAAGCTTTGTCAAACGTGAAGGCCAAGTGAACCGAGAGAGGCCCCAACAGAGCCAGGGTGTGACCCCGCAGGTCAGAACTCCCACGTGACTTATCTCTATGCCACATCACCCTGCCTTTGCCTAGCATAAGGGCTTGGCATACAGTTGGTATTCCACAGGGAGCTAAAAAATATTCACTGAATTAAGTATATGAGAACCAGCTATAAACCTGAGCAACCCCCAAAATATTTTATACTTAGAAGAACCAGTTATGAGCTTCTGCTTCTGCCCGCTCTGCCTCTCGGGAGTAACTGCTCTTCCAAGAAGCCCTAGAAAGGGTCAAGCATTATGTACTCACCTGTGTTAGGGTTCTCCAAAGAGAAAGAAGCAGTAATATCTATCTATTATACGTATATCCTCTTGAGAGATGAGACAGAAAGAGAGAGAGATTATGAGGAATTGCCTTGTGTGGTTGTGGAGGCTGAGAAGTCCCTCAGTCTGCTATCTGCAAGCTGGGAACCCGGGACAGCTGGTGGTGCCATTGAATCTGAATCTGAAGGCCAGAGGGAACCATTGGTGTCAGTCCCAGTCTGAGGGCAGGAGAGGACCGACCTCCCAGTTCATGCAGCCATACAGGAAGGGGGATGAGGTTTCCTCCCTGATTTCTTTTCTACTTAGGCCTTCAGTGGATTGGATGATGACCATCCGCAATGTGGGGAGTGGTCTGCTTTCTGAGTCCACCAATTCAAATGCTAGTCTCCTCCAGAAACACTCCCACAGACGCACCCAGAAATACTGTTTGATCTGGCATCCTTGTGGCCCACTCAAGCTGACATAAAATTTACCCTTGCAGCACCTCCAAACTTTTACAGTTTTCAAGACTCTTTCACAGATTACATCCATTTGATACTCATAGCAGGTCTTTAAAGCAGACTAGGTACATAGCGTTTCCACGTAATGCCTGTTTAATACACAGGGACACCAACCAAGGCTTACCAAGGTGACAGGACCTGCCCAAGCCCTTCTCAGACCAACTCCGGGCCCTTCAATGTGGCACTATTATAACTAAAATAGTAGGGGTCTCGCACAGCAATTCGATACCCCATGTCCTTAAGGCCAGTATGGAGAGGTCACCCTTTACCAAATGGCATATGAGGCCCTACCACCAAGGAGACAGAAAGACACTGAGCCAAATAGAGAAACAAGGAAAATTACTTTTTAAAAAGAAATCTGAGGAATTCAATAAAATTGAGAGTTATAACCATTTAGAGTGATGAATAAATTCAGGAGAAAGAGCACTATAAAAAGAGCATCCTTTTCCCAAAATTCTTAACTACCAAACAAAGAAAAAGAATTTAAGTTCTCTGAGTAATGCCATACTATCCAATGCTAGTCACTCTCTCTATCTAGTATTTTCCTGGGGCCAAAAGTGACATTTGGCTCTGGAGCTAAACACCTGCCAAATAGTAAGTCCTCAAATACTGCCTACACCTCCTGGATTTAGAAATTCCCCCAGGAACCAAGGGATGGGCCAGGAAATGGTTCCAGATTCTTCTCTCGCTGGGGAGACAGAAGGGATGAGGGACCAGGACCTGTCAAAGGTTCTCCTTACCTTAGAAATACTCAGAAGAAGGTGCATACTTGCTTTTTTCCACCATCTGTCAGATGTCCATCTAGGTTATGTGCCTGATGGGTTCCAACTTCAGCATGGGCTCTTCTTCATCATTCTTTTTCAAAAGCTTGTGCTCCCCACTGACCTCCTGTCTGTGGGCTCAGCCTGCCATCTCTGCCCCAGCCCTCCTGGTGCGAGCCCTTGGCAGAGTTTTTTGTTACAACGGATCTCCATCGTACAACTCTTGGAGACTCCAGTGGCCACAACCCAGGAGATCCTGAACTCCCTGTTCTTCCCTGAAGGACCTTTGACAGATTCAGTGGTTAGAAAAAAAGCAAAATAAACACAGGGAAGCAGAAGCAGCACAAGAAAAAGCAGGAGAAACATCTACAACGTTCACTGATGAGCACATGTTGCCCCACTAAGGGATGGACCCCACTTAGGTACGTCATCTTCTGCGAAGTTGATGTGATGCTGAACAACCCACTCCACTGGGAACGTAGATGGAAACCCAGAGATGTTAAAAGAGCCTCTGGACCTAAAACAGCTCCTAAAAACAGCACTCACTGGGCACTAAAGAAGAAGTAGGACCACCTTGTGTCATTCCATATGGACTGAAAATTATGTTTAAAAATGGGCCGTGTTCCTGATTCCAGGGTTAGTTAAAGAGGGTGGTGATGAGGGATATCCCTAAAAGGAACAGCATGTAGAAGTGAGAGCCCACAAGGGCAGTTTTGGATAGAAGCTGACTGGTACAGTTACCAGCCAAAAGGTGCCCCTAGATTACAGCCCTAGGAGATAATGGCCACTCCTACAGACCAAGAGAATTGAGACCTAAAGAGGGGCCAAACCAATTAACAGCTTCACTCTATAGATAGTAAAACTGAACTCAAGGAGGCCACTCAAAGCTAGGTATGGAGCCTAGGTGTCTTCCCACAAAGCCTGCTCTGTGTGCCCACTTCCCACAATGAGCCGCCCAAGCTGAAATGGTGTCCCAACTGCTGTTTTAAGGAGGAAGGGCAGGCAGGACTCTATCTCTTCCAAAAAGTTCCAGAAAGTGTGTGCTGCCAACCAAGGAGACCTCTGTGATCTGGAAAACACGTTTGTAGGGCAGTTCCTTCCCCAAGGACACAGGATAAGCAGGGGTCCCCGTGCCTGGGGGGGAGGGGAGCCGAAACCCCGCTGTGAGAAAGGCAGGCAGCTGCCCCCGCTCTTCCTGTTAACAGCCAGCAGCAGAGGAACTGTCTGCCTCAGATCTGGCCTCCCATCTCTGGAGACCTAAAGAGCTAAAAATTACGTATGGCCAGAGGCAGGGAAATCACCCAGCAAGCCGTGGGCACGCTACTGGATTTGGGCAGCTTCTCTGTTGAATTTTAATGAAGTAATTAAGAGCTAGATAATAGAGATGGGGCTCTGCAGAGCAACGCTCATGGACCTAACCTCTTTGATATGTTCCTGCATCAGGAAGCAAGTCTATCACTAGATGGCTTCATTAATATGCCAGCCAGCTCTCTGGCTCTAAAAGTGATCTATGCCAAAGTTTGTTAGTCTTTTAAATTACCTGCTGAGCTCCCCTGAAAAAAGAAGAATGAATGCATTCTTGGGAAAGAACAGTGTCACAAAGGATGCTGGAAGCCGACCCCCTGGGTCTGCTGATATATCCTTTTCAAAAGGAGTCTGGGTTGTAAAGAAAAACCAGTCATGGGGCCACTCCACACAGACTGATCAAGAGGGGTGGACTGTGAGTGGCATGGTAGCCCAGAAGAGCGAGAAGCCTGACTGCCTGGGACTCCTCCTCTCTTGAAGGGTTGACTATTTGGCAGATAAGTTGGCTACTGGACAGCCTAGCCATTAACTCGTTGGCCCAGAATTGAGACAAAGAAGCCTAGGGCTTGGGCTCCATATAACTCAGGCAGCTTTTTCTTTTTGGAGAAAGCTAATCTTCCACCCCAGAGGTGTACCTTTGTCACCCAGGGTCAGGGAACGGAGAAGAGTCAGAACAAAAGAAGCCCTCCTTTTGGCTCCCCTGGTATGTTTTCCCCTCTTCTCCTGTGCCCTCTTGCTCCTCAACGTCCACTTGAAACCTCACCTCTGTTAGGTTCCTTTCTGTATAATCCGAAAAGCTTAGAGATGGGACTCAGAGTTCAATTCACCCCATCCCTTCTCTCTCTCTCTCTCTCTCTCTCTCTCTCTCTCTCTCGTATTATTATCTAAAGAATCCCTTATAAAGAAGATACAGCTTCTATTTGAATCCGTCCAAGGACAAGGAGCTTATAATTTCACAAGTCCAATGTCAGGCATTTCTTGCTATAAAAATGTTATTCTACTGAGAACTCTCTTTCCTCACTACTTCAATGAAAATTAAAAATAGTTGTCTGGAATGTCAATAATGGGGTAGCAAGAGGAAGCTTTTTGGTGACTGTAAAACTCTGTCTTGACTATGGCAAGGTTTATATGAAGTGATGCTTCATGGTTTACATGAAGTAGATACACACGCACGCACACACACACACACAGGTGTATGTGAAACTGGAGGAATCTGAACCAGCTCTGTAGATTGTACTGACGTCAATTTCCTGGTATTGTTACTGAACAGTCATTATACAAGCTGTCCATCTGGGCAAAAGCTGGATGCAGAGGACCTGAGATCTCCCTACGCACCTCTTTGCAATTTCCTGCAAATCCGTGGCTATTTCAAAATGAGAAGT